TACAGTGGCCGGCAGGTGCAAATGCGCAGCAACAGAGAAAAGATGCAAACAAAAAGAGGCAGAAACAAATGAAATGCAGGAAACAAAAAAAAGAGACGCAAACAAATGAAATGCAGCAAACAAGAAGAGATGGAAACAAAAAAAGAGACGCAAACAAATAATGTTTGCAAACAGAGATGCAAACATTAAATGCAGCAAACAAAAAAAGACGCAAACAAAAAGCAAATGAAATACAGTAAACAAAAAAAGATACAAACAAAAAGCAAATAAAATGCAGCAAACAAAAAAAGAGATGCAAAGAAAAACGACTACAACCACAAATGAAATGCAGCAAACAAAAGAAAAGATGCAAACAAAAAGTGCTGAAAACGGAAGTTGTGAGTTTGTTCTAAAGTTGAAGGACTTCAACTTTAGAACTTCAGGTTTGTCACCGCTCTCAACCTGGAGTGTTGGCCAGAACACCACTCAGGCCAGGATTCAGCTCAGGACCAGATGTTAGGATGAGGTGCACCAGATGTTTAATGAAGACACGAGGCAGGATCCTTTAACTGTTCTGTATTCCAAACTGTATCACAGATATTGATCCAATGAACATGGATGGGCATAAATGTGTGTCTACATGAAGGTATGTGTGGTTTCCTAGAATAAACAAGAATACAGAAAATAAGTTCAAGGTGTCCTATCATTACACATTACACCATGCCATTATACCTTAGATAAACTAAGAAGGAAACCTCTAAATCAATATTACTAAGCAAACTAAGGCAAGTTAGTTTGGTTATTAGTTAACTCCACAGTTAACTAATAACCATGCCTCTGCTCCACTGAGAATAGATATGTATGTTCAACACAATGCTCTATACAAACCACAGGGTGAAAATAGCAATATATAAAAAAAATGATTTTACTATTATATATTATTTTTCCATGATGACAGGTGAGGCTCTGCCTCACCTACCTCCCCTGACCCCACGTCACTTGACCTAACGTTCAGGTCGCATTCATCCGAACTGAACGTCACTGATTCTCAACAAATCTCACTATTCTCACTATATGAGGATTAAGTTGTTAATATGCTGCTCCGGCCGGACCAACAACTTCAAATATGTAAGCTAAGCTCCACCGTTAGCCTCCATGTTTACTTCCGCAAACACTGTGCACTTCTTCTTTTTATGGCAGTTGACAGAACACTGAGAACGCTGACGCTATTGCGCCCTCTAGTGCGCATGCGGGACACTTTCAGGTCGTTTCCCCGTTCACACTGCAGAACGCATTACAGGTCGCATTTACTGGCAGTGTGAACGCCCCGGCAAAAAAATCGGAATTGCCAAAAAATCGGAATTGGGTCACTTCAGGCTGCAGTGTGAACGCACCCATAATTCCATCTGTTTGAGCCAACAAGTTTCACTAAAAAAAGCAGTCCGAACACTCCTTCCCGTTCAGAACCGTGATACATTCAAAAACGTTTGAAGCGCAATCGGATATGAATCCGATAGTCCCGCGATTCATATCTCTACCTCACTCACAGTAATAACAGCGATGAGAGAAAAATTGTGTGCGCTGAGCTCTGAATTTTTTCAGAAATGTATGGAAAACAGTTGATGAGAGTGTCAGATTACCCTGTCCCATGAATTTGCTCTAAAGCACCTTGAAAGAAAATAGTAAGCCGTAGGGAAATTTCGAAAACATTTTACGGGAGCAGGCATGCGTATCAATGTCATGACTGACTTTGATACCAATAGAGCGATACCTGTAGGCGTGGTGGCGATTTAAAAATTATTTTGGGGTCAGAAATCCATTCTTTTTCTCACTCTAGCGGAGCGGCAGTTGGTTTCAGTTACACTCTAATTTTATGAAAAATCGAAAACTTTGGGTCGCTTGGAGACAAGTTGTGGACAAATCATAATTGGTATTGACGTACCGTCTTCACTTTAGAAGAGATCTCGGACGTATCTACAAACTGAATTTTGAATGGCATTTCTAGTCAATTTATGACGACACATAAATTCCTCAAAAATAGTGTTTCTTAAGGGGTTTTTTTCCCTCCCTCCATTGACTTTAATGGGATTTTGGGGCATCATTTTTTCGCAAATTACGTCGCCATGGTAACTCCGAATCCCAATAAAAGTAATAGCTCCCTTCTCGAGATCGAGCCGCAGGCCCCAATAATAATAAACAGACATTCTATTGGGTGTAGAACAATAGGTGCCTGCCATTAGCATGCCTGCGAAACGTTGTCTGTTGAGCCCTCACGTCAATAGTCCGTCGATCTGATCAACAATATGCCGCAGTGCTGAGGCATCTTCATCTGTTTTGGTCGAGCAAAGGGTCTTTTGTTTGCGTCTCTTTTTTGTTTGCGTCTCTTTTTTTTTTCTTTTTTTTTTTTGCATCTCTTGTTTGCTGCATTTTATTTGCTTTTTGTTTGCGTCTCTTTTTTGTTTGCTGCATTTTATTTGCTTTTTGTTTGCATCTCTTTTTTGTTCGCTGTATTTTATTTGCTTTTTGTTTGCGACTCTTTTTTGTTTGCTGCATTTAATTTGTTTACGTCTCTTTTTTGTTTGCATCTCTTCTTGTTTGTCTTTTTTTGTTTGCATGTTTTCTCTGTTGCTGCGCATTTGTACCTGTCGGCCATCGTAGCCAGCTGATTCATTTGTGCCGATTTCCTTAATTTTGGGAGATGGGTGATTGGCCAATACTTACATGTGAAGCCGATACTATCCACCGATTTTACTTACCTAAACAAAGTTGTAAGAGTCAGCCTCTGTCCTCTTTCTCTCTGTTGAGAGAGTTTGGACTGACAGACCTGCCCACCAGGTCAGGTCTGCACATTCGCAATTAACAGTAGTAACCCCACTGTTACCAACTCAGCAACTTTCTTGCTATATTTAGTGACATTTCAGACAAAAGAAAAATAGTAGCCGTTAAAATCTGAATTGGCTGGTCAGGTCTTTTAAAAGATTGGTCATCAAAGACTGGCCAAAAAACTGCAATCACTGCACTCCTAATCTGCTCACTTTTACTCAAACAATCAAATGCAAGGCTGCAGCCTCAGGCAGAGCAGGATGGTCAGGAAAATAAACATAAAACTCACTCATGGTGCAGTTTCATGTGTGGAAATGTAAATGCCAAAAACTAGCTAACAGGAGCTCGACTGCTCTGAAAGTATAGGCTCATTGTTGATGAACTGACTGATTAGATGAAGCTTTAGGTTCAACCTTTTTACCTAAAACATCTTAATTCATTGATGGAGATCTTGTTGGCCATCCCTACTGTCACATTAATATGTAATATTTTATTTTCTGCTTATTCATCAGGATTATATTTGTTAACCTACATTAAAGGAACATGGCATCATCATATTTTATTTTCCAACACAGAAATCAGTTGTACAAATGTTCAAACCTTCCTCTTGGGTTTGCAGGTTTGCTTGAGCAGAGATGGAATTGTCAGGAATGTCCTGATGTATTAACCCTTTATAGTCACCACTTTCAAGTGCTGAACTGTTTTGTGTGAACTCAACTGCAATAGATTAAGTTATCAAGCATTTCTGATGATCCACTGGGCTCTGCTTCTCCGCTGCTGTGCAGTAGAGCAGCGTGTACAGCAGTCAGTCAGTGAGAATCTGGTGAGCAGCTGGTAGGGCAGACCAGTCTCTCAAATAGAGTTTGATCATATTTAATCATCTTTATTTTGTGACTCTGCTTTCCAACTAATTAGAGTAAGACAATAAGATAAGATCACTAATTTATTTGACCTGCAAATATTAGCAAATATTCTAACTAAAGTAGTCTAATCTGTCAGAAATAGACAAATAATTTATAAAGGCAACTTAATCAAAATAATGTAGAAAAAAAAGTTAACTTAATAATGCAGCTTTAGTGATAACATTTAATTGATTTGGTGTAAGTGTGCAGTCATTTCAAATCTTGTGAGTTTCACGAGAACAAAGACAAAATATAAACTTAAGACCCATAAAGATGGATCTGCTGAAAATATTTTGGGAAAAAATCCATGAAGATTATTAGCTCTTTTTTTAATTTAAGTAGCGTTAGTGTACATTTTCTTGGCCATCCTCTTGCATACTGCACGACAATCATACATGAATAAGGTCTCAGTTTTGTCTCTTTTTATTCAGAAGAGACATTACTCCCCATTGGTTGCGCGCGCGTAAGTGTAGGTGTAGGTGTGCATTTGCAAACAAAATGCTGTTAACCTGATATGAGTGCTACAGCAGTTCAATAATTTTAATCATTTTATGGCTAAAACGCTCATATTGTTCAAATTCACCTTGTGAGTTCTGAGGTCTTTCTGCTCAAAAAAAGCAGAATGACGCTCATGCTGTCTTTATTTTCGGCCTCTGAATAAACGATTTGACTTTTTATGTTTGCGAATTTTCAGCTTTTAGTGTTTTTATTTTTATTTTAAGAAGTCGTTTAAAGTGTGATATTTCATTGGTTACATATCCAGTTGAATCCACAAATAACTGAATGAAGTTTGGTTGTGCAGAACTGAGTCTGCGGTTCCTCTTGGTAAAATCATATCCTGGACCGACCATGTTTGTCTCTCTTGGCGATAACAACTGTGGAACATAGACAAATATAGAAGAGAAAATTGATAAATACAGAACTGAAGTGTGGAGAAAGTTGCCCTTATGGAAAACAAATATGTTCTCATTTTTCTGTAATCACCAATTTTTTGAATACTTAAAATAATCGGGTGTCTATATTTGGAATTTTGGAAATATCTGCCCCCCCCCCCCCACCCCCACAGTCTTTGTTCCTGCTTCTCTGTGCCAAAGCGCGGATTCGTTCAGGTTTTTTTTGTTTGTTTGTTTTTTTGTTTGCTTTCTGTCTTCAACATGTTTACCTACTAGATCAGTGTCTGATAATAACCTGAGGTGACACTAAAATAAAAAGTGAGTGGGTCTAAACTCTGAGTCAGATATGCCAAAGATGACGCAATGAGGGATTTGCCCAATAAAACTTTCCAACATCAAAAAGTGTGTATAAATTCAGATGAGACGTTGTTATTCTGCATGCCTGCGCGGTGCGTTGCGCTCCAGTCATGAGGAATAAAAGCAGCTTTTGTTTCTCATCCTCGTTCATTTAATAAGTCTTAAAACACATCACAACAAACGACTCTATTATCTTTCAATATATTTACATCTCAGACTTTTTACACACGAGCAACAATTAATGGAAACTCGGAGCGACACCAAAACCGAATACAAAAATAGAATGTCTTCCAACTTTACATATTGTCGGGCAGATTTACATTGCATTAGAAGCGTCCTTGAATCAGTCAGTGTACAAAAGACACAGCAAGGCACTGGAGAAACACACTCATCAACAGACATATTAAATGAAATAACTTAAACGTGTCTTCAGTTCTTTGAAACATTATTGCCGTTATTTTACATGTACAAGCGCAGACCGTGTCACAGTTCAAAAGTTGGGAATATCTGACTCCTCTTTTAATGGAAACATGTATACTTATATTTATTCATATTTCAGTAGGCTGTGCGGGCAAAGTGCATTCGTATAAGCATCTTTGTGAGTTCAGTAGCATGGCTGTGCGTCTTAGTGCACCACTGTGCACAAGTTCTTCATTCGGTGTTCGGCTCCCCGTTCCCAGAACGTTCACACTGATACTCAGAGTTCTTTAAGGAGTTCGTGTGAGTCAGGCAGCCAAGGGAAACAAGTTTTTAAAGCAGACTTAGGAACAGATTCCACTGGCTGCACTGATGCCGCCTGACGGACGCTCCAACGCGGAGCTTCCAGAGGAGGAGGACGAAGACACCGTGGACGCTTTCCTCTCCTTCTGCCGCAGGTGGATCTTAGTGTGTCTCTTTCTCTCGTCGCTCCGAGCGAACTTGCGGCCGCAGTAGTCGCAGGCGAACGGCTTCTCTCCCGTGTGCGTGCGGATATGCGTGGTGAGGTGGTCGCTGCGGCTGAAGTTCCGCATACAGATCCGACACTGGAAGGGTTTGTGGCCAGTGTGAATACGGATGTGCCTGGTTAGTTCGTCGGAGCGGGAGAAGCGCCGATCACAGCCCTCTGCCGGACACGGGTACGGCCGCTCGTGGACGGGCGTTTTGCTGGGTCTGTTCGGGTATTTTCTTGGCCGCAGGATCGGCCTGAGGGGCAGGTTCTGGGGGCTGTAGGCAGAGGAGAGCCGTGGCTGCCCTGTTTCTGAGCCGCCGCCACCCGGAGCTCCCAAAGTAAAGTTTCTGATAGTGTTCAGCGGTGTCAGGGGAGGGGGCACTCGGAATGTATCGAGAGGACACGGGACGAACGGCTTCCGATCTGGGATAGTTGCAGGGTGCATGTCCCGCTGACAGGCCGGCTGGAAGAAGCCGGAGTAGTCAGGGATGATGGGTAAGAGGCCCGGTACGTCTGAACTGCTGGGCTGCTTGGGTGATGAGTACGAGGGCGGAGGGTATGAGGCTATCGGACAGGAAGAGGTGGACAAAAAAGCCGAAGGGTCCTGGTACACCTCCCCGCAGCCAGAGGAGGAGTAAGGGGGTGGGGGTGAGTACAGGTGACGGTGGTGATCCAGGTCGGCCTGGCTCTGAGCCGCCATGGTGCAACTTAAAGCTCCACTGGAGAAGTGATGAGGAGATCCAGAGGAAGCCGGGGAGGAAGAGGCTGAAGAGGAAGGAGGAGGTGGAGGGGGAGGCGGCTGGGCCACGTTGAATATACCCGAAACGATGTTAATGACTCCCTCTGGGTTCCAATTCCCTGGGTACTGGGAGTCGATGGAGAACTTCCCCATGTAGGTGAAGGTCTGGTTGCGATGGGAGGCAGGCTGGGAGAAGCCGCTGGAGTAGGAGGAGAGCTCCACTGAGCGCTTCTCTGCGTTCATGTCAGCGCCCATCAGGCTGTCTGCGGACAACAACAAACCATGATTCACCCACCTGGTCATACACGCGCGCGCATGAACACATTTTGCTACAACCTACAACTGACTGAGCACACTTGATTTTCATCTTTTTCTCTCAAGAAACACTTTGGAAGAAGTCTGTAACAGTTTACTAAACATATCCAGCTAATAAGAGAGATCTGTCTGACTTGTCTGTCGTACCTGCTGCCACATTCATCTGGTCGTAATGTGCTCCTAGGTCGGCGTTGGGGAAGATGGCCACCGAGGTCGGCAGACTGGCGGCGATGTCATCCACAGAGTACACGCTGTCTGCCACAGGATGCACGAACCCTCCTAGATTCACCTGCACTTTCTCCAGAGTTTTAGCTGTCATCGTGCTCTCCCCTCGCTCTCTCTCTCTCTCTCTCTCTCTCTCTCTCTCTGACTCGTTTTCTTCTTTGTTGTTTTTCTTGGAGCCTAATTAAGAGCGTGGAACCCGGCCGAGGAGGGGTCACCACTGCATTTCTCTGTCGGTCACCGCCGTTGTGTGAGGATGCGCTCCGTGTTACTGCTGCGCTTCATGTGACAAAGTTTAGGACTGGCTGACTGGCTTTGGTGACGGAAGCGGGCGCCCTGACACGAGTATGTATATATGGGGAACCTTTTGAATGTGACTGTTACGTCATTACCCAAATATGGACAGGGAGGGCTAGAGACTGCACGCGCAGCTAATTCTGATTGGCTGGGCGGCTCCGTGACGATTTCAAAGGGAATTACTTCTCAGTGGAGAGCCCGCTGCTGCAGGACAGATAAGAAAGTTTTTTTTTTCCACTCGCTGTGGAGCGACACCGATGCTCCTAAAAATTCTAACAGCAGAGCGAGAACTCTGCTGACACCTGTTCTCCGTTCCCATCTCCTCTTTTTCAGTATGACCCTGATTTAGTTGCACAAAATATCAAAATAAGAGATTTGAGGTTTGGCTTTTGAACCCATAAAAGGTCGAATCCGGTTGATAGGGACACACCCCTTAGTCCATATTTGGTTTTCTGTTCCGGAATTTGATCATCGGAAAGTGACGAGTTTTACCGAGCTGAGAGAGAAAGAGATAGTGAGAGAGAGAAAGGCATAACCACAGTCAAATGAGACGGACAGAGAAGTGGAATTTCTTCCTCTGGGTGACTAGCTCAACGGTTCGGAAACTTCTGACAGTCTGATTTGACTATGCTCTAGGAAAGATGAGATTTAGTTCACTGCGAAGTGAACTCTATAGTCTTTTTATAGACCGCAGGAAAAAGGAAACCAATATTTATAGAGGCATGTTAAATATACAATATCTAAAGTTGACTGATCCTCATAGATCTATGTTATTTCTTACAGACTTGACTAAAGAATAAACCCTGAAAACCCATCAGTTGCTATGTGAACTTCAAGTCACAGATGGTATAAAGACATTATTTTACATTCAAATGTGCTCTTGATTCTTTAATAAATGTAACCTTGAGGAATTTCTTGTAGTTTTGAAAAACGGATGCCCCCCTGTGGTGTCCTTAGGAAGAGTTCCTGTCTCACACCCTCTCTCTGTTCCATACACACAGATGCCGATGCTCTGCTCTACTTGAGTGTGAAAAGTCCCTCTGTGGGTGGAGAAAAAAGACAGACAGAAAACACTGGGCACCTTGGGTGGAATCTACTTTCCGTTTTGTCTGCTTTTATGTTTGTGTGTTGCACAGCCACATCACACAATCAACCACAATCTTGTTATGATCTAACTCAAACCTTTCAGAAGGCTTTGGGTGACCTGAAGATACCTGATAAGTGAAAAGTCAAATGCTCACCAATCATAATGTAGAAACCTGGAATCACTCTGAGGATACTCAGCAGAATATATCTTTTTATGGCATTTTGACTGCAGAAGATGCCTGGGAAGGGGCACTTTAAAAGTTCATTAATTACAAGAGCTGTATGGACTTCTGACTTTACCAACAACGTCAGCGACCAGAGTGGATTTGATGAATATTCAGGTCTTGCCATCTCTCCCATACAACTAATGACTTGATGTCTTTAGCTACTTCAAAAACACAGAGCCTTACCAAGTTTCTTTTGTCTATGTTGTAGTGCAAAAAATCTCAGTATACCAGAAATAAAACACACATTATTACTAGCAAGATATATGACCTTATTTTAAGTACACAATTCTTGAATATTATGTACTTAAAATAACTTAACTTAAAATACTGATGAAATATGTTTATGGCAAAGGCATGTTTTTTCACAAGACATTTTCACATGTACGTTTCAGTACATCTAACCCTTGTAAGTTATTTTTGTCTTATTTCAAGTGCACTGAGATATTTGCTCTAGAAACTAGACAAACATGTTTGGTAAGATTTAATATTTTTGCAGTGTAGGTAAAACAAACCTTTGATTATTAGTCCCCAAATGGACATTGTGTACATCCTTCTGACATGAATGGGAGGTCATTGTATATTTAAATCAAACACTGGGGATTAATAAAGTTAAACATAAAAACTGTCACTTTCCTAAGTGTTCTGTCAAACCATATTTGACAGAACACATATCTGTGATGGAGAGCAGAGGTTCCATCACTCATAACGTATTACTGATATTATGTTGTGTTTAACTGAGTTCCAGACCAAATGTTTCTTTATTTCAGTTGTGCTGTGACATATAGTTGAACATTCTTTCAGGCAGGTGGTGTGGCCATCCTTCCAGTACAGGGAGAATGTGAGGGGGGGAATGTCTATGGAGTTAGATTTGTTTCAGTTATTCAATCAAAGAAAAAAAAAAGTAAACCAAAAAAGTAGTATTCAATCAAAAAAAAAATCATGTCAAACAAAAAAGTAGTATTCAATCAAAAAAAAGTTTTCAAACAAAAAGATCTTAAAAACATTTTAATCATAAAAATAAAATTTTACCAAAAAAATGTTTAAAGAGCTTTTTTAAAAATTGAAATCACCAATTTTTGTTTGAAACTTTTATTTTTGCATATCAGAATTTTTTGGTTGACAGCCTAAGTTTTTGGTTGAGATTCAAAGTTTTTTTTTTTTTTTTTGAAGCTCCTGTTTCTTGGTTGAACTCAACGTTCTTTGGTTGCGAATCTCACATGAACATCCTGGGCGGGGCTTAAGGACGAGCAATGTAAGACGTGTTCCAATTGGTTAGAGCTGACTAAAGCGGATGACTCCGACTCCCTGAGATCTCAGAACTCTGTCCCGAACTGCAGGGCTTCGGTGACGGGACACAGAATGCGAATGGTATGTAATCTTCACAAAATTACACCATTTAGCAGCTACTAAAGTGTCCACCCTGTTTCAAAGAAGAAATCTTACACAACTTATGACGACAGTCACATATTTTGTCTGCCGCGATCCACAGTAGCATATTGTGCTAGCTAATGTTAGCACTAGGTAAAGTGCTAACATTTACCTAGTTAGCACTTTACCTAGTACTAACTAGTACCTAGTGCTAACTAGGTAAAGTGCTAGCACTAGGTAGCACTTTACCTAGTGCTAGGTAAAGCACTAGGTAATATTACACAAGCCATTAACTAGGCTTGTGTAATACTCACCTGTCTTTATGTTGAATTCGTTAACCAGCGCACCTCTGTCGAGTGGCATTAAGCGTGGAGAATACCAAATGTATCTGGAGGAAATATGTGTTAAAAACTGTTGTGTAATCCTCCGCGTGTGCGTGTGTGTATATATGTGTGTTTGTATTAACTAGCATTGAAGCTAGAGTGGGGAAACAGCGGATCGTTGCACCAATGTTATTAGGTCCACGTTAATCTGCACCACACGTCAAGTGACTGTGCAGATTATTTATTTACCAAGCACATAATCAGTGTTGTCGATGAGGGAAGGTAATGTAACTCTTCAATATATATTTTCTTCCAGATGTAAAATGTAAAACTAAGCTGGTAGGTCACAGGTCGAAGGAGGATATTCACATAATTTCTGTGTTTTTGTGTATGTCTTATTAGTTTTATTCTGAATTAGATGTAATATGCCTTTTGCTGTATTATGATATTAAATTAAATTGGTGTTCTCCTAATTCCCCATTCCAGTATGACCAGCAGAGTGCAGCTGAAGCAGAACAGGCTTGTAGGTATTACTGATTCCTCCAGCTGCTAGAGACAATCAGAACATGAGGATGGAGATGCCAGCAAGTGTTGAGTCAGAGAAGGCCAGGTAGGGAAGTAAGTGTTGCTTTTAAGGGCCAGGTGTATTTGGCTAACTATATTTCTCCAAGTCAGTTTATTTATTATCAACACATAAGCATGCATTAGTTTTAAAACTAATACATGCTTATGTGTTGATAATGGTACATTGTAATAAAAATACAAAAATTACCACCAACATCCTGGCAGAAGTAATAAACAACTTTATATCAGAGCTTTTTTTTTTTTTTTTTTTTTGCATCTGGAACACATTAAAAGCGAATTACCCAATTTGGTTTATTCCCTGTCATGTTAACGTTCGGTTATTTCTCCCTTTTTCATCCTCACTGCAGCTGGAGCTGGACTGGAGTTCTGTTTGGCTTTAGTGGCTTCCTGGATGGAGACATCGGCTGACCTAAACGCAATATTTTCCCTCTCCCATTATAAACTTTGCTTTTCTTCAACATGGAAAATACTCCTACATCAGTAGCTCTGTTTGTTATTTTGACATCAACGCTTACCTGGTGGTCAATTGATCCTCTTAACCACTGAATGTATCAGAACCACCTGGACTGAGCTGGTTTCGTCAGAGGGAGCCAAGACTTCTCCATAAAATGACTTCCCATATTTTAAGATGTTCTTCTGGTAAAATTGCATCTTTATGATCCTAATATGACTGCATTCTGATAATTAAAAATACTTGTAACCTGGCCATAACACTCCATTATACAACTCACAAGAGGAATGACAGAATTAAAGCCACTTTGTGAAAGTATTTTCTGTATTTTGTTTTAGAAAAAATATTGAGGGTGACTAAAATTAAATCTGTTATGAAAAAACTGTTCAGTCATATCATCCAGCCTTATTCAGTATATTATTGAGTTATTTTACTAACTGCATATTACCTAATATTCAAATTTCTTTGTTGGCATTACTTGAAAGTGTTTCATTTTAATATCTCTCTCTCTCTCACACACACACACACACACACACACACACACACACACACACACGGAGGATTACACAACAGTTTTTAACACATATTTCCTCCAGATATATTTGGTATTTTCCACGCTTAATGCCACTCGACAGAGGTGCGCTGGTTAACGAATTCAACATAAAGACAGGCGAATATTACACAAGCCTAGTTTATGCACTTTACCTAGTGCTAACATTAGCTAGCACAATATGCTACCGGGGATCGCGGCAGACAAAATATGTGACTGTCGTCATAAGTTGTGTAAGATTTCTTCTTTGAAACAGGGTGGACACTTTAGAAGCTGCTAAACGGTGTAGTTTTGTGAAGATTACTTACCATCACATTCTGTGTCCCGTCACCGAAGCCCTGCAGTTCGGATCGAGTTCTGAGATCTCAGGGAGTCATCCGCTTTAGTCAGCGCTAACCAATAGGAACACGTCTTACATTGCTCGTCCTTAAGCCCCGCCCAGAATGTTCAAGTAAGCTTCCCCAAAGCAAATAAAGTTGCATAAGCAAGAAAACGAATTCAACCAAAAACTTAGAAAAAGTTTCAACCAAAAAAAAGCGACTCAACCAAAAAAAAAGCGACTCAACCAAAAAAAAAGTTTCAACCAAAAAAAAAAGTTTCAACCAAAAAAAAAAGTTTCAACCAAAAAAAAAGAGACTCAACCAAAAAAAAGAGACTCAACCAAAAACAAAAAAAAAAGTTTAAAAAAAAAAACTTAGGGATTTTTGCTTTGACATGATTTTTTTTTTTGATTGAATACTACTTTTTTTGTTTGACATGATTTTTTTTTGGTTGAATACTACTTTTTTTGTTTGACATGATTTTTTTTTTGATTGAATAATTGTGAAACAAATCTAACTCCACCCGAAAGCAGTGGCACTTGTGGCAGGGGTCAGCGGAAGTGCCAGT